TTCATTATTGGATACTCTCCACAGTGATAAATTGCTACCATTCTATTTCTATTTAATTAGTATTTAAAAGATGTCTTCTATGTGCCTAAAACAATGCAAGTAGCTAGAAATACAAAGATTAAAAAATGACACAGCCCCCTAACCTCAAGCAGCTTACATTCTACTTGGGGAGATAGGACATGTGCACAGAATACATGAAGTATGGAGTGATGGGGAGAAAGGAAAAATATTAGCAATGTGTTCTGGGATAACTAGAAAAGGAGAGAACACTCACAGCAGCAGAATCAGGGAAGGCTTAATGGAAGAGGTAGCAACTAGGCTGAAACTTGAAGGAAGTTATACTTAAGTAGATGGGGAACAAGAAAATAAGCATCAATTGAGCACTTACTGTGTGCCAAACACTTCACAAATATTGTCTTATTTAATCCTCACAACCACCCTGGGAGATAGGTGCTATTATTATCCCCATTTTATAGATGAGGAAACTGAGGCATACAGGGTTAAATGTCTGGCTTAGGATCATGTAGATAGTGTCTGAAGTTGGATTTGAACTCAAGTCATCCTGACTCCAAGCCCAATGCTCTATCCACTGAGCCACTTAAAATACTCATGATCCTTAACCTTTCCCTGCCTGTAAGATTGGTTTTCTGAGGAGAGTGTATCACTCTGCCTATAGTTGAAAAACCTTTCTGGACCTCCCCGTCCCCAGCTCCAACAATTACTTCCATCGAAGTCTATTAATTATTCTCTTGCCATAAAAATCTGAGAGGTTCATGGGCTACTGGGGACAACAGTACGATTTTTAAGCTCTTGTTGCTAACGTATGTTGCCTTGTGGCCACTCATGCTTTTTCTCCTTAATTGTCATCCTTTTGGAACAGGAACAGAGTGGGACAGGACAGAGCTGTAGGGCTGTCTCACCAGACCATTTACTTTGGCAGTTGATTTTTTGAGGCATTCTCCATGAGAGTGCGCTCACTCTCTCTTTCTCTCTCTCCCCACCTCTCCGCCCTCCCCTCTCCCCCTCTCTCTTTCTTCCCCATTCTTTCCCTCCCCCTCTCTTTCTCTGCCTCCTTGGCACCTAAGCTAGATTGCTGATGGCCTGCTACCTTGTTTGTAGGCACCCCGCCATCCTCACAGATGGGCCAGAGATGATGTAGTCAGGAAATCATGTATGAGACTCAAATGTGGTCATTGGAAATTATTACTGACAGCTGTTCAGTGGTCTCTCTAAAATGAGTTAGTCCACCCATCCTGGTCTCAAAAGGCGCTGTGGGTTTAGTTTGGTTGGGTCTTAAAGTGATGGGCCCTAATTTCTGAATTTGACATATAGACTACTTCTGTCCTCAGTGGAACTATTGGTACTAGGGTTGAGATGAGAGGGATGTGTATGTGTGTGTGTGTGTGTGTGTGTGTGTGTGTGTGTGTGTGTGTGTATGTATATGTATGAATGGGTTAAATCATTTTACTACAGAGGATTTCAGTAAGTAAGACAGTACCTAGCTTGCTCTAGATTTTCCAGTGCCACAGTGAGTAGGGGTAATGGTCTTTGGACTTATAAGGATTATGGTAACTTGAGAAATTCATCAAGAATGCCTGTATCACCTTTATTACCTCATTGGTCTTGATGATTTCAGCTCACAACAACATTAGGAATCACCTATGTTTGCCATTAATCTAGAGAACAATAGAACTTTAGAGCTGACAAGGACATTAGGGATCATCCAGTCCAATTTCTTCATTCTAGAGGTAGAGGCACACTTGGCTAGAACTTGGGTAGGAGACATGAGGGAGGCAGTGTGGTACAATGGAGGAAGTGTTGGATTTGAGATCAGAGAACCTGGTTTCTGGTCCTGGTTTTCTACTTACCATCTGTATAACCTTTGAAAAGTCACTTAATACTTGAGCTTCGGTTTCATCATCTACAAAATGGCTAGAGTTGTGCCGAATAGCCTCTAAGGTCCCACTGAACTTAAAATTAATGATCCTATGACCTAGTTTTTTAGTCATGGTTCTGACTCTAGCTAGTTAGTTGGTTAGGAAAGTCACAGACACTTCACATTCCTAGGCCTCACTTTCCACATCTGTAAAGTGAGAAATTGGATTAGATGATCTCTCCTCCAATCAAATCTCATTTTTCCATATCCATCTCATTACCACAGCCACATTGAATGATACCATATACCCATGACTGCCCACTGAGTCTACTGAGTATCCCTTATAGGCATTCATGATGTATGATAGTAAGTGATCCTTGTTCTCAAAGAGATGATAATGTGAAAAGAAATCATAGTGTCTTGCATAAAGAAGAGAATAAGTAGGTATTGAATTAATTTAAAGATGAAGTATAGGAAGATCTGGGATCATAACCAGTGACGTGTCCAGGTATCTTCTGGGTAGAACTAAAATTCAGAAGTAATTCCAAGTATCTGAGTCGGATGAGGGCTATTCGGGATACAGTGCCAATGTCTATCAGGGTTTTGAAGCATTTTTAGTGACATAGTTCAACCCTGAACTTTAATGTCAGGTGATAATCAACAAGCAAACAGTAATTAAGTGACACCTAGGCACTGTGCCAGGGGATGGTGATACAAAGCAAAAATTAGGTGATTCTTGCCCTCTGTTGCTCCCATTTTACTGAGAGGATGGTGCATGTTCACAGATAAATAAATAGATACAACATTTTTTTAGTGGATGGAGGGATGGATCATTTAATGGAATGGAATGCCAATAACTAGGGAATTAGGAAAGGTGTTTAAAGGAAGTGACATTTAAGCTAGATTTTAGATATAGCTAGAGCTTAGGTCAGAGGGAAGAGAGCAATCCAGAGCTGAGTTGGGGTAGAAGAAGTCTATGCAGTTCTATGAAGTCTATGGATATGGCTGCAGTGTCATTATAGGAAACAACAAATAGGCCAGGAAGTCTAGCATGTCGAGTACATGAAAGGGGATAATGTATAATAAGCCTCAACAGATAGGCTGCAGCCAGATCGGTAAGGTCTTTGAATTAACAGAAGACTTTGTATTTTGTCTTCAAGGCAGAGGGGAGCCCAAGAAACTTCATGAGCAAGGGAGTGAGGACTTTAATAATATCATATCACCTAATACTGGGTATGAATGAGTCGAGAGCTCAGCCGTAGCAGGGTTTTTCTTCCTTTCCAAGCAGAACATGAGCTCCATTTTGCTCCCATTTTGAGCAAGCTGGCATCCCCCAGGTTTGTAAATATGCTGTTAGCAATGGCAAGATGGGCCCTTGGCTCACAGCTGAAAACTCTGAGAGCTTTGCAACTGGCTCACAATCTCTCTACTGCATGGGATGAGGTAGCTCTTAACAACCTGGCCTCTCTGCCAACAAATTTTACAAACCCCAAAGCAAACACTGTCCCAAAACACAAATAAAAAGGAAGAGATTTGGCCCACAAAGGAGGATGCCTCATAAGAGAAAATGCCTCTGCACTAACTCACTACAGTTAGATTCTGCTATCTGCGATGTCTGGATATGAATTTTTCCATGTACTCTGCAAGCCTACCAATGCAGGTATTTGTCTTAATGCTTTGGAGGATGGGAAGGGGGTGGTGATGGAGGAAGGGAGAGCAATCAAATACAAAATAAAGTTCAATTGCTTGTTTTAGTGGATTCATGATCCTGGCACAAAGACAAAACATATTTAACAGGCCTTAGCAAAAAGCTATATACACGTAACAGCAAAGATGTTGAAAATAGCAGGATCATACAGGGCTTGCAGGGATTGTAGATATACGACCTTTGCTCTGGAGAGGGAGACAGCCCTTTTGCCTGGAGAAGAGCTGGAGCTAAAGCAATGACTGGATAGAATCCATGTTTTTCTGAATTCAAGGCCTCATAATTTTGCCTGTGGCTTCTGATCTCTCTTCCACTTTCCTTTCCTTCGTTCTTCTTTGTTTCTGTTTGCACTGAGTTTGGGCCACCCATAGCAGAGTTTATGATTACCATGTGATATGTAACTTCAAAGCATCTATGTAAGCCTTTGGAAGATGCATCCCTGCCTTGCATACCAGGGCAGGCTTTTCACGCTTTCCGTTCCTCCCATGTCTCTGCTTGACAGCTCAGTAGAGTAAGGGCCGTTTACTTCAGCGAGGCTTTCAACTTTCTGCTATGTAATTTTTTTTCCGTAAGGATAGTTATTCAAACATTTTCCTTGTGCAGACAAGCAGGGCAGAGTTTCTGCATTTCGATTGTTTTCTAGTGTGTCTATTCTTTTCTTTCTAAATCTAGAATCTAAGCAATTACATGACAGGACCCCCCCCCCATTTCCATGGCCCAGTTCTCAACCACTTTTGTTAGAATTTTATTCAGGCAAATATAAGTCTATGATCACCTCTGTCGCCATAGCAACACCAAACAGCTTTGAAAATGCTTTGTTTACTAACTTATTTTGGAGCATCTTGTGTTCTCAATTCAGAGTTCAGAAATTATTCTTCTTGGGAAGAAATCAAGATGGCATTAAGGCTTTCATTAAAACTCCATATTCTTTCTGGCCCCTCTGTAGCTGGAAGTTGTCAATAGATTTGGAGGAAACTTAGCAGAGAGAAACTTAAATGATGAAGAGGGAGAGACTGACTCCCAGAGAAAAGGCTCAAGGAGCTAAATATTTATGGCCTCTGAAAATGATGACTAAGAGATAAAGGAAGAAGAGAGTGTTTTCTGGGTGTCTAAAGGGTCTAAAATGTCAGGAGGAAAGATGAATCATTTAGGGAGAGCAAGTCAAGAGAGAGCAGAAATTGTGCCTAGTCTGATAAAGCCTCTCTACACTAGTTTTTGCTAGAGAGAATTCAGTACTAGCAAAGACTTCTTCGATTATACCCCAAATCATCTCATTTTGAGTCAATTTTGCCTAGAAGGTGGTTTCTCAGCAAGGATTCTAGGAGTAGCATTATGACAAGTTTCTCCTGTGCTATACTCTATTGTTAATGACCACTCCCCCACCCCCCAGCCCCATGCATATCTCTCTCATCACAGTCCATCAGTTGAAGATTACAAAGCATCTTATTGAAATAAATGAGAACTCTGAATGGCATAGAAAGATTGAGGTGAGGGAATCTCTTAGTTTTCAATATTTTTAAAAAGGGTAGAGTTAATGTAATTAAAAACCATACTAACTGAATGAAGGGGATAGCAGCAGAGACCCAGAAGTACATATAGGAATTTTATATGACTTAGACTCCATAAATGATTATAGGCTTTTAAAAAATACAGGGAAGAGAACAATTCTCTCTCTTTTATTTCACCAGTATCACTAGCTGGCTAAATGGTCAATCAGTGATTGAGTAGCCTGGAATAGCTTTAATTAGTTGTTAAAATGTTGGTGACCACCTTGATGATGATAGACAGTTTAGTCAGCCAGTGACAAGGGGGTGCACAAACTTCTTCACCTCTATTGTTTGAGTATGGGAAGATACTACACAACAGTGCAAGACTGCAAAGTATTTGTTGCTATTGCAGAAAAACTGTAGCCACGACAAATTACTATGGAATGCTTCTGCAGTTGCTTAGTGACTGTCTCCACTAAGAAGGTGGAGATGGGGTAAGATGTGGACAGTGACACAGTAAAGCACTCTTCCATTCAAGGCCCAGATATTGTATTTTCCCCAGATGTCTTTCTACCGTCCCATCAATTTAAAGGCTGAACAAATTATGATATGTGAATGTAATGGTACTGGATAGCTAGGTGGTGAAATGAATAAAGTGCCTGGCCTGGGGTCAGGAAGACTCATCTTCCTGAGTTCAAATCTGGCCTCAGACCCTGGGCAAGTCACTTAACTCTGTTTGCCTCAGTTTCTTTATCAGTAAAATGAGCTGGATAAGGAAATGGCAAACTACTGCAGTATCTTTGCCAAGAAAACCCCAATGGTGTTACAATTGAAAAATGACCAAATGGCAGCAAACATAATGGAATACTATTATACTGTAACAAATGATAACAGGGATCGTTTTCAGAGAAATGTAGGAAGATGTGTATGAACCAATGCAGACGGAAGTGAGTAGAAACAGGAAAATAATTTATATAACAACGCTGCAAAAATAATCTTGAAAGACAACTCTAATCAGCACAATGGCTGGCCATGATTCTAGGGACCAATGGTGATGAATGTTGCCATCTTCTTGACGGGGGTGATGGACTCAAAGTGCCGAATAAGAAATACGTTTTTGAATGGGGCTGATGTGGGAATTTTTCTTTGTTGTCTGCATTTTTGTTATGAGTTTTTTTCTTTTCTCTTCTTTTTCCAGTGGGGGAGAGAAAAGCTTATTAATTTAAAATGGTTGATTAAAATGGTTTAAAGTCATCAAGCATTTGTAAGCACTTACTATATGCCAGGCATTGTGCTAAGTGCTAGAAATACAAGTAAATTACATCCTAACAGAAGAAGGTAACATAAAAAAAGAGGTGAAAAATATATTGGATAGTAGAAGGTACCCAATAGGGGCACGGTGAAGAAAGAAATCCAGAAAGAGGACTAGAGCCCAGAGTAGAATGAAAGAGTGAGCCTGGCTGGTCTGGGAACTTTCTTTAAAATGGAGGTTCTGGGAGGAGATTACCAATCAAAGGAAGGGGTAGAAAGGTGGCCCAGTAGGTAGATCACTGGGCCTGGAGTTTGGAAGAGCTGAGCTGTATGACCCTTGGCAAGTTACAACCTGTTTGCCTCAGTTTCTTCAACTCTAAAATGGAGATAATAATAGCACCTACTTCCCAGAGTTGTTTTGAGGCTCAAATGAGATGTTTGTAAAGTGCTTAGCACAGTACCTGGCACCTAATAGGCTCTTAATAAATGCTTCTCTCTCTCTCTCTCTCTCTCTCTCTCTCTCTCTCTCTCTCCTCAAATGGGTTAGTGAAGTTCAGGGTGAGAAGACTCAATGGATAGGTGAAAATTGATATATTTATTTCAAAATCATTTGACCCTTTTCTTTTAGAAGCCTACAGATGTAGGGAGAAATCAATACTGTTGTTGACCCCCATCTTTTTTTTTTCTCATTCTCCTTTCCTGTTGTGGAAGTTCTGCAGAGGGAACCAAGGGCATTCTAAGAGCCTTACAAGATGTGACCTGTGATGTTGGCGGGATGACCTAGTCTAGGTAGGGACAGTTTGCCAAGGTAATGCCTCAGTTGGCAAGAGGATACAACCCAGACCTGGGTCATTTGAGGTTAAAGGGTCAGTTCTGAGCAGGCAATGGCCAGAGACAGGAGTTAGTGTCAGAATCTGGAGTCACAAGTCTGCGGTGAAGCATCATCAGGAATCCTGGGGTTAAAAGGGAAATGTGACAAGAGTTTAAGCAATTCAGCCCAGTCAGTTCAACAAACATTTATTAAATTTCTATTTTATATGAGGTGCTGTGCTATGTGCTAAGGACATAAAGCTGACAAATGGTCATCTTTTCTCTCAAAGAGCTTACAATCTACTAGGGAGAATGAATGAATTAATGAAAAAACACATTTATTAAACATTTACTATGTGAAAAACACTGGGGATGCAAACAAAGAGGGCAGTCTCTACTTTTAAGAAGCTCAGATTTTAATGAGGATAAAATATATAAAGAAGTGGGCCAGATGGGAAGGTCCCATGATCTTAGAGTACAGTGGCAAAGTAGATAGTGATGTTTTTTCTTTAGCTTCTGATATGAATGCAACGTGTATACAAATCCAGACAGAGGCAGTGAGGTGAGGTAGTAGATAGAGCCCTGGGCTTGGAGTCAAGTAGAACTGAATTCAAATCCTGCCATAGTCACTTACTAGCTATATGGTTCTAGCAAATCATTTGACTTCTTTCAGCCTCAGTTTCCTCATCTGTAAAATGCAGATAATATCACCTATTTTTCTAGGTGCTTTTTAAATTTTAAAGCACAGTATAAATATCATCATCATCAGCATCATCAATTTGTTATTACAAGGTAAAATATGATTGGGGCAATGGAGAGATACAGACACCATGGTTTAGGAAGATTTGAGTAGGGGGAAAGCTCTTTAATTTGGGAAAGGCTTCACAGAGAAGGTGTTACCTGAGCTGAGCATTGAAGGAAGATGATTTTAACAAGAAGAGTTAAGGACAGAGTTCATTTCAGGCATTGTGGGTAACCTGTACAAATGCATAGAAATGGGAGATTAGGAAATATCTAACAGTAGAGTCTGGATAGAACACCCGAGTATAGGAAGGTGCATAATGTGAAATAGGGCAAAGGTAGTAGTATCCAGACTGTGGAGGGCCTTCAATGTTAGGAAAAGGGATTTTTATTTTATCCAAAAGGCAATGTGGAATCAGTGAAGATTTTTAAGCAGCATAGCAGTGAGGTTAGACCTATGCATTAGGAAGATCGGTTTATCAGCTAACAAAGGAAGGTCTGGAAAAGAGACTGGAAGTAGGGAGGCCAATTAAGAGGCCATTGTACTAGTCTAGGAGAAAGGTGATGAGGCCCTAAGCTGATGTAATGATTAAATGGAGAAAAGAAAATGAATAAGAAAAGAGATGTTGTGCTGTTAGAATTGACAGGATTTAGCAACTTGGATATTAGAGGGAGGAAGAAGGAAAAGTCAAAGATGACCCTAAGGTTTTGAACATGGATGGACAGGAAGGCAGTTGTGCCATCAATAGAAATAGAGAAAGTAGGGGGAATGGCAAGTGTAGAGACAACGAAAACGAGTTCAGTTTTGGATAGGCTTGGTTCAAGGAGCTGGTAGGATACTCATGTAGAAATGTTCAACAGATAGTTGGAGTTCAAGAAAGTGCTCTATGTATATATTCATTCAGTGACTCTTCATGACCCAATGCACCATAGCATATACCATGGAGTTTTCTTGGCAAAGATTATGGAGTGGTTTGGCATTTCCTTCTCCAGTGGATTAAAGTAAACAGAGGTTAAGTGACTTGTCCAGGGTCACATAGCTAGTAAGTGTCTGAGGCTGGATTTGAACTCAGATCTTCCTGACTCCAGGTCCGGAACTCTGCCTTCACATAGACATATACAGATGTATATATAAGGAATTAGGAGTCCTCTGCATAAAGGTGATTATCAAACCAGTGGGAATGATGGAATCATTAAGGGAGAGTGTACAGAGAAAAGAAAAGAGGGGCAGACTCTTGGGCGATGCCCAGGAAGACGAAGATGAATCAGTACTGGTCACAGTAGCGACCAGAATGTAGAATGACAGTGTGCTACGGTGCTTCAGAGGTGGAAGAGACAACTAAAGTTATCTGGTCCAGTCTGTACTTCTATATCCCTCAAAAATGCCCAGTTGGCTGTTGCTTTAGGATTGCCGATAAGGGGAAGCCTACTGAGGCAACTAGCCCATTTCACTTTGGGATAGCTCTAATAGGAAGGAAGCTTTTCCTTATATCAAGTCCAAATTGGCTAGTTTACATCTTCCACCCATTGGCTCTGGGGCTAATTAGAAATTCTGTTCCAATCAATACACCTTTAAATACATGGATATAGATACTATGTCTTAACATTCGTAACTCAGCATTCTCAATCCTTCCACCAATATGGGAAAAGAAAGGGGAAAAGAACAAACATTTATTAAATACCCGCTATGAGCCAGGCACCTTGCTAAGTGCTTTAAAATGTTAGCTCATTTGATCCTTACATTAACCCTGCTTTTGAAGAGTGTACATTTTTACTGGGAGGATATAACACAAATGGGCAGCTAGGTGGTGCAGTGAATAGAATGCTGGCCTGGAATCAGGAAGACTCATCTTCCTTAGTTCAAATCTGACTTTAGACACTTACTAGCTGTGTGATCCTGGACAAGTCACCTAACCCTGTTTACCATGGTTTCCTCATCTGTAAAATGAGCTGGAGAAGGAAATGGCAAACCACTCCATAATCTTTGCCAAGAAAACCCCAAATGGGGTCATGAATTGTCAGACACGACTGAAAGAGAATCTTTATGCCTAAGATTATGATTCTTTGTTTTTCTTTCCCCTTCCCTTTCAACAAAGCCCTACAAATTCTTTCTTTAGTGCTATAACTTATTCATTCTTTTTCATAATTTTTAACAGCTGTTTCCAACATATCTTTTGGATTCCATTTTCTCATTGTTTCAATAGTCCAATAGAGCTTTGTGTGACCCAATTTCTCTTAAGTTCACTTATTCTTGCTTCTTCTTTCTGTCTTTTTCTGTGTCCTTGGTGACTGATCTTGATTTCCCATTTGCTCTTCTTATGTTATGTCTTCTCAATAGCAGGAGCAAATACAGCTCCTTCTCTCCCCAGACTCCTGGTGTGTTAACCCAAATGTACAGACAGGGGCTTTAGTTTAAAAACCATAACAATGGGAATCTTAGTGTTGCAAGGAACCTTGCAGGTCGTTTAGTCCACCCTCCTACTCAAGGCTGAAATCTTTCCTGCGGTATCCATGACAGTATCAAATCTCTGCCTGACACATGAAAACTTAGCCAGAAACTCTTCTTTCAATGAGCTAATTGAGAGTGCCCCCCAACTAGAAGGTTTCTTTGGTTTCCTTAATAGAAGTAAACTCTTTTACCTACCAGACCACTTCTTTTCTCCTTCGAGAAAATAATCTGTTTTCTGTCCCTTCGTGGAAAAATTAGATATGAGAGAACCAATATCAGAGGAATTAAAAAGAGAATTGTGTGCTTTTGTAACCTTTCTATCCCTTTGTGCCAGATAAGGTCTCTCTAATGTATTAGATTGGACTTTCCGCTCACACCTTGATATTACTTTTTCACCTTCTTGCTTCCCAGTCCCCTCACTGGTTTAATGTACTAATACAGAAGATGTCTCTTTGAACTTTGCGATTTTGCTGTTTCGAAGGCAAGTAGCGTGTGGGTGAAAAGAATGTGAAGATTTATAAAGGTGTGGAAATGACTATGAGAAGACACTTTTTGCCTTGAAGACTGCATAACTTTTATTCTTCTTTAAAAAGGATGGCTATTTAATAAAGATCCTCTGAATCTCTGCTGAGACTCTGCCCATTAAAATAAAAGTCAAGGTGGACTATGCAGAATAGAATGAAACACCACTCAGAGCTCTTCACAGGCCACAGAGGTGAGCAGATGTTGAGAAAATGGTTGTACCAATGTTCTGGGTTAGTTTCAAAGCCTTGGGTTCAAGGGCAAATATATCACTTGGCTCTTTCTCAGAGATACCACTTTATTTCAATCATAGCTAGAGTTTGTGGAGAATGTCCAAATCACAGGCCACAAATTTTAATAAAAGCCTGGCACTAGCAAGATTAGAGTTAATAGATTATTGATCAGCCTAATGGTTAGTGACAAACAAATTTTTCTCATTAACTCTGCCATTGGGCATTTGTCTGTCTGGGAGGCCAATCCAATAAGAGCCCATTACTTGGCATTACTTTCTCATGTCAGCTTGTTGCTAGAATCGCTCTGGGGTAGTGGTGCCCCTGTTATTGTGAACACTTTTCCAAAGCTGCTTTTCTTTGTCCCTTCAGAGACTGGCAAATCCTTTTTCAGTGTGAAATGGCCTGGGTTTGAAAGCACTGAGATAAGGGTTGTATCTGATTGTACCATCACCCACTAACACCTGTTATGGTTGACTAGATTTCCAATTATGTGACTCTATTCAATATTGTGATGAGGGTCCTGAAATGACATATTGTTAGTGATCTCTCTCGCTCCCAAGAAGAACTTCTAATCTTTGAATAAATAACAAAGAAAATCTTTTGATAGCACAAGCACTGAACTAGCTGCTTTTTAGAGGAGAGGATAGTGGACCTTAGGAAGGATGCATGCCCTAACCTCCCAATTACTGGTGTTAAAATGTAAAACACCAAACAGGTGTATATGTTTAAAAATAGACTTCATCATGCGATTGAAGCCATGTGTATGCTACTGATTTATAAAAGGAAGAGTAATTTTTTTAGTTAATAATAATAGTAACTGATATCTCTTCCATGTAATGTTTCCCAAGCCCTCCAGGCCTCAGTGTGCTCTTCTTTATCTAAATTTGTAGCATTTTTTTAATCTGTTCACTCACATGGAACTTAACATAGATGGCCTCAAATATTGACTTTGTCTCCCTGGAAAGATTATTATCTCCTTGAGGGCACGAACTACATCTACACAGCACCTGGAACAAGGCTTTGCCATGTGGTCCGCCCTACATAATGCTTGTTGATTGGTGATGGAAGCTTGACTTAAGGTAGGATTGTTGTTGAATTGTTTCAGTTGTATCTAATTCACTGTGACCCCACTTGGGGTATTCTTGGCAAAGATACTGGAGTTGTTTGCCATTTCTTTCTCCAGCTCATTTTACAGATGAGGAAACTGAGGCAAACAGGGTTAAATGACTTGCTCAGGGTCACATAGCTAGTGTCTGAGTTTAGATTTGAACTCAGGTCCTCTTAACTCTAGGCTCAGAACTCTATCCACTGTACCACCTAACTGCCTTCAAAGGCAGGATTATGGTTGGGTATTTAATTAAAAGAGGGAGCATAGTGTAGTGGATAGAAAATTGGCTTCTGAGACAAAAAGGTCTGGCTTCAAGTCTTACACCTAACTTGACTGATTGTGACCCTGGGTGAGTCATTTAATCTCTCAATTCCCTACCAAACTCTCGAAGAGGGACAGCTAGGTGGTACAGAGGATAGAGCACTGGCCCTGGAGTCAGGAGAACCTGAGTTCAAATCCAGCCTCACACACTTGACACTTACTAGCTGTGTGACTCTAAGGCAAGTCACTTTACCCTGATCGCCTTGCCAAAAACAAAAACAAAAAGCAAACAAAAAAACTTCTCCAAGATGGTAGCAGAGAATATCCTGATTTGCTTTGGTAGAATTAGATCCTCATTGGGAATTTTATATATTGATGAAATCTCAGATCCTGTTTTTAAAAAAAAATCCACCTTTACTCACAAAATTATCCTTTTGCACAAATCTAGTCGCATGACTGCTTTGTCAAAAATCTTCAGTGACTCCCTATGGCCTACAGAGTAAAGCTCAAATCCAAGCCTGGTATTCAAGGCTTTGTCTGCTGACAACGCTGATGGGTGCTGCCCTTTGGAAGCTGGCATTTTGAGCTGGAGTGATGCAGAGCAATGCCATTGTTCTCTTTGGAGCTTCCTTTTTTGATGAATCAGATACAGAAACAGGCAATTATTACATTAGACCATTTGGGGTTTTTGTTCTCCAGCCCTTCACTGCTTTTGTTGCCATGGCAATGCTCACTAGGTCCAATATCAAGCCAGTTGGTAGAAACACAACTTTTGTTTTGCTTGACCGTGCATATTGGCTAGAGCATTTTGTTGTGTTGTCTTTTATTCCCCCAGTGGTGAATGCAAGGAAAGTGATAGGGAGAGAAAAAATGCTTTTCAATCGAAATAAAATATGAAGTAATTTTAAAAAGAAAAATAAAGTCAAAGACATGCCATAAAAATTAAAAGAAAAAATGGATGAAAGAAACTCTTCCCAGATCATTTAAGCTCTTTATTGCCTGGGTCACCATATTATTTTATAGTATAAAGAACCCTTTCTAGAGAGTAAACCTGTGAGGCTCACAGGATAAGTAATATTATCTTTATTTTACAGATGGGGAAGCTGAGGCTTAGAGCAGTTATGACTCGCCCAAGATGACAAGCTTGGTAAGTGGAGACCCAGTTTTCAAATCTAGGTTTTCTGACTCTCTAAGTCTAGTGTTCTTTACAGAACTTCATGCTTATAGTATTTTTCACATCCATCCTTCTTCTATCAATTTCCACTACTATTACCCTTATGTGGACCCTAATTATCACTCATGTTCGCTATCATAATAGTGTTCTAGCAGGTCTTGTTTCCAATGAAATCTCTTAAATCAGTCTTGTCATTCCTTTTCTCAGAAGTCTTCAGTGTCTCCTTATCACCTATTGAGTAAAGTTCAAACTCTTTAAAAATAATCAATACCAATTTATTTTTAGTTCCAAGTTACCTTTCTTCCCTTCCCCTTTCTCGCCTATTGAGAAGGTAAGAAATAAGGAACCCATTACAAATATGAAATCATGTGGAACAAATTTCCTCATTAGCCATATTAGAAAAAAATAAGCAAGGGAAAGAAAGAAAAAGAATAAAATATGCTTCCATCTGCGCCATCAGTTCACTATTTGGTTATGGATAGCATTTTCATCATGAGTCCTCTGGGATTGCAATGTGTCATTGTGTTAATCAGAGTTGCTAAGTCTTTCACAGTTGATTATCTTTACGATATTGCTGTTGCTGTATAAATTGTTCTCCCAGTTCTATTCTACATACTTCACCTTACATCGGTTTATATGAGTCTTTCCAGGTTTTATGAAACCACCCCCATTTAAGGACATTCAGGGTGCTCTATTATCATAGAACATTATATCATGTTATGTGGTGCCACTAGTCTTCTCACAATGCTTTGCTTCCCATGCTTCAGATGTGACCTCAGATATACCCTCTTTCTGTGAATTTGCTTATGAAATTACCGTACTTGGAATGTCCCTCTTCCCCTTTCCCCTGCTTCTTTTTACCTCTAAAAGCCCAACTACATTTTTACTTCTTTTGTGATCTTCCCTGTTTTTTTACATTTTCCAGTCAGTCAGCTTCTTTTCCCACCCTGGACCTCCAGAAAGAACTTTGCTTTGTACCACTGCAATACCTTTTGTTGGGGGTTGGGGGGGTGGGGTTCTTGGATGTATCAGCACACCTGTGCAAGATGCTCCAAGTGTGGAACCTACCTCCATCGAGGCAGATTATCAATTCACCTGTAACTTGTAATCACAGAATCATAGATTTAGAAGTAGGAGAGACCTTAAAGGGCATCTAGACTTACAGTATTGCCTGAAGGCCTGGCAAGTGTAAGTGACTTGCGTTGGTATGCAGCAAGTATATAACATAATCAGAACTTGAACAAAAAGACTCTTCCTGACTCTGAGGCCAGTCTTATCTACTATTCCACAATGCTACTCTCTGATGGCAATGATCACATGTTATTTTGAATGACAGTTATCTACGTGTCTCATCTCCCTACTAGATGGTAAACTTCCTAAGGGCAGGGACCATCTTATCTCAATTCTCATATCCCCCAGCATCTAATATAATATTCTGCACAAAGCAGGAGTTTAATTGTTGGTTATATTGAATAGAGTTGAATACCTTTCCAGTGTAAAGCAAGGTCCAGTTGGACAGGGAGTTTATTTTGAATTAATGATTTAAGTATTTAAGAAGCTAAAACAAATCTTGACAAACTCTTCTTATATTCAGCACAATCAAAGGTAGCCAAGTCAAGTAAATAGCTCAAGACTTATTCAGAAAGATGAGAGGAAATCATCATTCTTGGAGGCTGATTCATTGTCTTGGTGGTGTAGAGGTGGGCATATGGTTGTTTGATTCAACCCAACAAGAGTTTTTTCATTACCTTTAATGGACAAGGTCCTATGTCAGGCATTGTGGAGGCACAGATAAAACAACCACCAAAAAAGTTCTCGTTAAGGAGCTGACATTCTAAGAGAGGGACATAGTGTATAAACAGACAAGTGCAGATGCATGACTGTTTAAAGGAGAACAGTAACTGGGACAATAAGAAAGGTTTTCCATATAAAGTAGCATTTAATTTGAGTCTTGAAGGAATTCAAGGATTCTGAAAGGCACAATAAGGAGGGAACACATTCCAAGCACGGGGGATAGTGGAGGTAGGCTGTGGAGGGATGGATTTGGGGAGCAGCAAGAAGGCCAGTACTGTGTTGGACATCCTCCATGATGGTGGCAAATACTGTTGATACAGCAAAACACCCTGAAAAAGGCAGAACATGCCAGCCAAATCCAACCACTGCCATAGACTTCACTGCTTCTCAGGTCTTGATAGAGACGGCCCAAGTCTCTGACCCTAAGACCCTAATAGCAATACCCACTTAAATCACTAATTCTTTTTCACAGGTATTGAGATGAGCAACTCCCATGGATCAGGGCCCACCGTCCTCACCACCACCCTGTCATTGACGGGCATGCACCCTAAGGACCATGGAAGCAGCAGCATCCCACAGACCCCTGGCTCTTCCTGTAGCCCAACCCTACTGTAGTTAATATCCAGGAAAACACTTCTTGTGAAGAAAAGGGCAGATATCCCCACCAACTGCAACTTATGGGGTCAACTAGGCAGCTTAATTGAAGAAGCAAGTAACCTTGAGGGAGAGATAGTCAGGATATCCCAGGCAAGTCAAACTACTGCCACCATCTTGATTAGCACCTTCCCTTGGACCCAGTTCACTAAGCTCAAGGGCCTTGGGAATAGAAGCAACCCTTAGGCCAACCATCATTAAGGATAGCAACTCTTTAGATGCTTACTGCTTCTGCACGGACTGAAGCCTCTCCCTCCTCAGGAGCCACAGCCGTTACAGAGCTAGAAAAAAAGTTCTCACCACCACAGAATGGTTCAACATGAGAAATAAATATCTTATAAGTAGAAATGTCACTAAATAAGATGCATGCTGCTGTACGCAGCTGTACACCAGGAGCCATGGTATTTTTCTATCAGACGTGCAGCCTAAATCTCTTACACTTCTTGTCTTTCTCAGTAGAATGTGAACTTTTTAGTATGGGGACTGTCTTGATTTTCTGTTTATCCCCAGTGCTTAGACCAATTCATTGAACATAGCAAGTGTTAATAAATGCTTATTAATTTATTCATAAAATCTAAGTTTAGATCACAGCTCTGTTAATTACTCCTTGTCTTCTACTTACCGAGGGTAAATCGCTTTACATCCTTGAGTGCCCAATCTTGCCATTTGTAACAGTAGTAAAAGCTAACATCTATATTTTGTTGTTGTTCAGTCGTGTCCAACTCTGCGACCCTGCTGGGGTTTTCTTAGCAAAGACACTGGAGCGGTTTGCCATTTCCTTCTCTGGTGTATCACCTTTTGTTAGAACTCTCCACTGTGACCTGTCTGTCTTGGGTAACCCTGCATGTCAGAGCTTGCAGTTTCATTGAGTTACATAAGCCCTTCTGCTCCAGCAAGGGTAACATTTATATAGCACCCCATAAATATTATCTCATTTAGTTGTTATCATAGCTCAATGCTACGGGTATTATTATGATACCCATTTTAAGGATGAGGAATCTGAGAGGGTAACGTTAAATCCCTTGTCCAGGGTTACAGGACAGAGAAAGGTCTCACCATGGAAGTCCTTGACATTGTCAAGTGGCTGAACATCAGAAATGGACAGCGTTTTACTAATGGAAATGACACTAGGGAAGATGCGTTACTGTCTGCTTTGCTGCTGCACTTGAAGTGTCATCTCCTTCATTAGAATGTGAACTGCTTGAAAAGACTGACTCTGCTTTTCTGTTTGAAACCTCGGTGCTTAGCAGAATGTGTTGCACATAGTAACTGCTTAATGAATACTTGTATATTCATTCGTTTGATACACCACATGGCCTCTGGATGAGATTTATAGTACTTGACCTTCCTGTTAGGGATAGGGATAAGGACTGGACTTGTTATTTCACTGGTATAGGGAGCTCCCAGATGAAGAAATTTTTCTACTAATACAAGTTGGTACCTTCTCTGAAACTTAGCCTTAGAAAGTTGCCCAGGGCACCTCAAGATTAAGTAATTCATTCTCTGTCTCTGTCTCTCTTTCACACACACACTCACTCTCTCTTGCCCCCCCACCCCCCATCAGAGATAGGACTTGCAGGTCTTCCTGCCTTCAAAGCCAGTTTTTTATATACCTTGCTATGACTATGTCTCGGTCTCCCTGCTAAATGCTGGTGCTTCTGGGAAGGATGACACTTTCAGTTGTATGTTATATGTAAGTCATTTGCAACTTAATGTGAATGGAAAGAAGGTTTTGAAGGAACATGAAAGTCCTGGGCCCTTAGAATCCCTTTCTATTCTGATTCTATATTCAGTTACCTTAAATATCATGCTCTGAGCTCAACTGTAAGTGAAGGCCAAAGGCAAAAATATACTCACTTTCATTTGGCTTTAAATGGTCAGATCATACATACTTTAAATATATTTTTGTTATGTAGTGTGTGTGTGTGTGTGTGTGTGTGTGTGTGTGTGTGTGTGTGTTTGTAATTAAGATAAGCTTGATCAACTAATTTTTCCCAGCCCAGTTAATGAAATTACTCAAAGTAAGGAGCAGGTAACAGAGACAATGGAGTATTAAGGTCTTGAATGAAATACAAAGATAGAAAGATAGAGTATTTAATAAGATCTTTCTTTGTCAGGCACTGTGCTAATAGCTGAAGATGTATATATAAGCAAGAAAGAGAGCCTGTACTCTAAAGGAACTTACAAGCTAATGAAGGGAAAATAATACATAAAGAAGAGCTGCATATGAGGAAAGAAGGGAGTTATTGCACTGAATCATGATGTGGAGAGCACAGGGAAGTGAAATAGAGGCCTTTATCTGAGCAAGATAAGGTAAAAGCTCACCTATCAGAGGCCAGAGTGGTCCCAGGCATAGAGTCCAGGGTTCAGGAAGGGATGATGGCCAAAGCGGGGAAGGTGTAGTGTGGAAATGGCAGGAAGAAAGTTTTTACAACGTTATCTCTTTATAAAGTGTCAAGAAATCTTTTAGTCAAGCCTGGTGGAAATAGAGGTTAGCTAGCCTTTGGATGGCTAAAATATTGTCCTTGCCCATGGTGCGGGGTTCAGGAAGGACTAGCACCTTTGGTGTGAGGGTTTGCCAAGCCCTTTTCAGGGCTGTTCATCCATCTTTGGTGTCTACCTGTCACTTACCTCTTACCCATGGCTCCCAGAACTGTAGCATGCCCAATGACCACACCCCAGTAAAAACATCTTGACAGACAGGCTAAACCAGTTTGAGGGTAACCAGGCCAACCTGTTAACGAGATGTCTACCCTACGCACTGAAGACTTCCCTTGGCAGAATGGATGGATGGGTGACAACAATTTGTTTCAAGGGCCATGAAGGTGGCTGAAGTAGGTGATGCGGAGCACTTGGAGCTTAGTCTGACATTGAAGACACCAGGGTCATGCAGTGCATTCTGGGCCATTGCTAATCACCCTGATTTTTATCTTGCCACTGGACTTCAGTGACTCTGGAAGAGAAAGTGAGGCTGATAACTTTGTGTAACTCTGCCTCACTTAAATCCAATGATGAATTAAATCCACCTGTGATGTCATTGATCTTCTTTGAAAGTGAAGGACAAACAACAATACTTCCACATCATAAAAAAAGCTAATATGATAGGATTAACTTATGGGAAGGAAGAAAACAAGAATTTATTCAGTGTCTACTATGTGCAAGTCATTGTGTTAAGCGCTTTATATTTGAGTCTCAAAATAGCCATTGAATATCGGTGCTATTTTTATCCCCATTTTACATATGAAGAAACTGAGGCACACAGAGGTTAAGTGACTTGGCTAGTAAGTGAGCAAGATGGGATTTGAACTCAAGTCTTCCTGACTCCAGGCCCAGTACTCTATCCGTTATACCACCTAGCTGCCTATTATTACTAAAGGTACACTTAATTCTCTTCCTCAATACTAGGGTAATGACAGGGTATATAACATTGCATTTGTGTATTCTTTTTTTTAAAAAAAAATTTATTAATTTATTTTGATTTATCAACAATCACTTCCATATTCTTTTGAGTTGAAAATTTTTCTCCCCCTTCCCCCCCAACCTCCCCAAGACGGTGCACAATCTGATATAGGCTTTACATTTACATTCCTATTAAACATATTTTCACATTAGTGAAGTTGTAAGTAAAAATTAAAACCAATAGGAGGAATCATCATAAAGATGAAACAAAACTCAACAGAAGGTAAAAATAAGTGATAGCGATTCAACTTCCATAGTTCTTTCTTTGGATGTGGACAGCATTTTCCATCACAAGGCCTCTGGAGATGTCTTAGATCCTTGTAATGCTGAGAAGGGTTCAGTTTAACAATATTAGCCATCGCATAATGTGGCTGTTATTGTGTACAAAGTCCTCTTGGTTCTTCACATTTGTTTATTCTTCAGAGGAATATAGTATGATGGAAAAAACCAAAACCAAAACCACTGACTCTGAAGTCAGAGGTTCAAATCCTACCTCTAATGCTTCCTACCTGTGTGATCTTGGGCAAGGTCTTTTCCTCATCTATACAATGAGAGAATTGGACTGAATGGTTTCTGAGGTCCTTTCCAGTTTCAGAGCTATGATTCTATGAAGCATCTTCACAGCATAGTAGAAAAAGTACTGAACTTTATAGTCTGGAGTCCTGGGTGCAAATCTCCCCTTATACATGTTCCTATTTGTCCATGGGCAATCCATTTAAATCCCAAGTATCTCCGTTTTTCACTTCTATAATAGTTATGATATATCTGTGTGCCTGACTTGGCTGATTTGTACCCAAAGATCCCACTGGTGCGTTACCCTGGAGGGGGAGGAGGTTACTTCGAGGCCAAATAATTCACTGGGTCCTGATGCTGTCAGAGAGGCTTGAATTCGTTGCCTTTATGTCAGTGGGATTTTACATTTAGAAAACTGTGTCCAAGATGTGTCTCAAGGCTCCATACAGGCAGATTGGATGAAAGTGTTCAGTTGTGAAATCAGGACTGATCAGCACAGAGATGGGTTTAGGTTTCTCATCTGGACACTTCTCATCATCATCACAGGTAGCATAACAGGTAGCAGAGTAGAGTGAAGGGAGGCATTTGTCTGATAGAAATAATGGCTTCCTGTTGGTTGGGGTCTTAACATTGTTAATGGCTGCACCCCAAACTGAAATTGTCACTTCTATAAAAGCTTAAAATTTCTTCTGACTCTGTGGTTGTGTCTGCCTGCAAGGACCTATTTGTGATGTGGACCTTTTTTTTTTTTGTGAGGCAGTCGGGGTTAAGTGACTTGCCTAGGGTCACACATTAAGTATTGTGTCTGAGGCCAGATTTGAATTTGGGTCCCCCTGACTCCAAGACTGAAGCTCTATCCACTCCATCACCTAGCTGCTCCTAGAACATATAGGATTACAAAGGATTCTAATTATATTGAAATACAGCTTTTCATGTTCTCTTTTCTTTTTGATGAGGCAATTGGAGTTAAGTGACTTGCCCAGGGTCACACAGCTAGTAAGTGTCAAGTGTCTGAGGCCAGATTTGAACTCAGGTCCTCCTGACTCCAAGGCCAGAGCACTATTCACTGTGCCACCTAGCTGCCCTGATGTGGACTCTTGTTGACCAAGATGATTCATGTTCCAAACAGCTGGTCTGTCTGAAACTATACTTTCCTCCTCCCGTCCTTACCCCCATGATGCCATTTTCCAATCTGTGAAATGAACAATCTATGCAGAGCTTTGCCTCCTTGTTCCCTCAGAAAGTTATCTGTTATTGACAGGAGTGCATTATTACTGCTAAATAATTTGACATTTTCTGTACCTGTTAGAATTTGGCATCGAATTATCCTTTGTTCAGGCTCCTTAGTAAGGTTTTTCTCTCTTATTTTGGAGAGCAGTTTAAAATGAGAAATGTCTAGATCACAGAAGTACTTACAGGATTATACTATAGGGACTGGAAAGGCAGCTATAGGGTCTCATGCCTC